TGTGTGTGTGTGTGTGTGTGTGTGTGTGCATGTGTGTATGTATGTGTATGCATGTGTGCATGTATGTGTATGCATGTATTATGTACATTTATAATGCAGAAGCTTAACGGCGTAGAAGAAATTGCATATAGCCCGCCTTTAATGGGCCCTATATCTATGGTGCCTGGATCAACCACGCCTTGGTTATTTTATTTGGCTATTTGGCTTGTTGCATTTTGAACTGCTGTTCTGTTGGTGTCATTCGCACCCCAACTTCCCTTCGCCCGTGTATCTCCCGAATATGCATTCGTTTATCTTCGTCATTACTGTACTCACTGTTAGCACAAGTTCAGGTGGATTTTTTTCTTTTTCTTAAAAGAAATATCCCAAATTTCGTATTTGGGGAATTTTGATCAAATTTCGTTAATAATCCTTCCACAGGTTCACCTACGGAAACCTTGTTACAACTTTTGCTTGGTTCGATTAAAGCGGCTTCCACCGATAAATCTCCACCTCGAAAAGCATCGAAACACTACTGCTACGGTGTTTTCGTTGAATTAGGGTGCCCCAGCCTATTTTAGGAGAAAAGCATCCTAAAAAAACATTTTGTCCCCTATTACAGGAATTTCAAATTCGACTCTTAAATAAGGTTTTATCTCGCCTTCCCTGTCCTAGTGCATGGTCACTACTTCAGAACGTAATCTACATCAAGATTAAAACACCTAATTATTCATTGCTCTAAGAAAGTGTATTGGAGAACAGGTGCAAACTATGACAGCGAGTTAGATGGATCATTAAAATATTGCTTCGAGACTATACGGAAGTGTAAAATCTAAGCTTAAATAAGCGACATGCAAGAAATGTTGCGAGTGGGGTAGAAAGTAAATTCACTGATAGACGTTTTGTTCACCGATGCCCACTGCGGAACAGTTGCGGCACGTTTAGGGGAAAAAATGACCACTTCCATTTTGTTCGATGCGTACGGGTAATGGCTTCGGATAGAGAATTTAGAGACAAGAATCTGACGCTTCTATTCTCAAAAAGACGGACAGTATCATCGGCGGACTTGCAATAATAATCCATTTTAGTGGAAAAGAGACTGAATTACTCCTCACTGGCTCTAGTGATTGCATCAGCTGCTTGCCAAATGAGGTAATTGAGGTTTAGCATTCCAGCGATTATTTAAAAAGCCGATGTTGGACTCAGCCCCACAGAAGCATGCGCATAGTTACCACTTCACTTCCGCACCATGTGTGGCACCGAATTCACAGTAGCAAATTAACTAGTTGCTAAAAAAATAGCAGCACTCGACGCGATGCCAAATGCTTCTATCTGCAAAATTTGGGAAGATTTTTGAGTGAAAATAGAAAAATTCAGCAGTATTGATGGGATTTGGTTCAGCTTGAGTTTTCCTGATAGTCTATTGGTAACTGTACAGAACTGGACTTTTTGAAATCTACATGTAATTTCATATCGTGGGAAAATATTCAGCGCTCAAATCCTTAAATTTCATGAGGCAACCATATTTTAGGCATATTCAAGGGGACTAAAAAAACTTTATTTTCTTGTAAAAAAACAAAAAAACTTTGAATCAGCTTTTGGAGTCTCTAAAACTGAAACAGCTGGTAGATTTATCTGCTCTAACAATAAAACAGTCACAGCGACAGTCTTCTGTCAATTCAAGCTTTTTTTTGGGAAACAATAAACTTTCCGTTCTCATCTACAAATTTTTTAAAGTATCAGAATTGGATCGCTGCTCCTAATTCGCCTAGCAACACGAAAACTTCTTTTTACTCAGAAGAATAAGAAAGATTTTTTACATTTAGGCCTGGAAAAACTCACGACACATAGAATTACAGTAAAGAAGTGCTCTGGGGTTAACCAAGTCCGCAGAATAGCGTAAAAAAGTCTTTTTCTGAGTCAAAAATAGAGCCTTAAAAAAACTTGCAATAAACTAAAATCAAATCGTTATAAGCGGAGTATTTCTGGTATGACGGCTATCCAGCTGAAATTCCAAATTTTTGCTCTAAGCAGTAATCAAAATCAGTCAGTGAAATAAATTCAAATGGAGAACGATAAACTCGCCAGGAAAATCGATCAAGGAAATCCAGAAAATTCACAAGAACCTCTCAGCCGTGCATTTGCTATCAGCACACGCAAAACTGTGGACCGCAAAAACTACTGTCATATCTTTCCACTTTTGCTAAAATCATTTTCGCTATCTAATCGGTAATTTTCACTAAGCACGGATTGAAAATTATGAAAGTTTTTTTGGAATTAGCTGCTTTTTTTGCATCAATATTTAAAAATGCTCTGAAAATTTATTTCCGCATTGTTGTTGAAGCGCAAAATAAAGGGATAAAAAATTCCGTTTGAGAGGAACTACTTCTAGAAAAAAAACTAGTTTTTACCAAAATTAGTTTTTTGACGACAACCAAAACAAAACGTATTTTCAATAAATATCTAATTAAATCAGTTTTGCTGCAGAGGCAGTACTAAAAAATTTATAATTGTTCTGGTAACTTTCAGCGATGAGGAAAATAAAAATGCATAAGTCCAAGGCCCTAAAAAAAAATCCATACTGTACGAATGCAAAATTTTAGGTTTCACTGGGGGGAGGGGGGGGGGAGGGGAATTTTGCATGATTTTGTACAGCAAAAAGATGCGCTGATGTTTCCTAGTCCTTAAAACCGACTGAAATTTTAATAAACTTTATGAAAGTGATATTTAGCTTTTGTTATCCATTGTTCAAATCCTCGCCGTTGGAAGTTTTAAGTGAGCTTTCGTTTTTCACTAAAAGATTCGAACCAGCTATTCAAAAAAACGGCTTCCTGAATTTTGATTGTGGCGAAAAATGGCTTGTCCGATAGAAGTAGATCTACAAAATTTTCAGTAAATTATTTTTTTATCAAAAATTTTTGGCCTGGTCAAGGGACATATGAAATAAATTATGTTGTCATTGCCATGCTCAGCCACTACCTGAAAATCGCCACTAGAAAATGACAACCCAATTTGCTGACTAATTTTACTCATAAATTACTGCGGGTGATGCTCGGTTTTCTAGAAACTGCAATTTTCAGTTGCTCGTCCTTTTCTAATTTTTTGTCTCCTAAGCAACTCGTCGATGGGGAAAGATTCGTCTGCGGACGAAATATGCTGATAAAAGTGTTATGAGCTAAGCGAAGCCAGAGTGAGTAGTGTTGGTTTTGTGCTTTTTTTGGAAATCAAAATACTGATTTATAACGGAAATCGGTTCTGACACTTCCTTAATCATAGAATGCCTACTGTATTCAATGAGCGAAAATTATCAATGAAAATTTTTCTCACTGATAAAATGAATTTTTAAGACATTTCCCCTACCAAAAACAAATCCATATGCTCAGGATTTTGCAAAAATTTCTGACTTGAAGCATTCCACTGAAGTTCTAACAAATTTATTATTGCCAGTAAGACTGATGCTAATATTTTGAGCTAGACAGGAAGGGTCCTAGCTCTTGAAAAAAACTGGTTTTTGGGCCGTCCAACCCTCATAATCTGTTCAGGGAACCGGTGCAGAAAGGCGTGGATCTGTGCTAAAATTTCATGAATTATGTTCTGAAATCAAAAAGGAATTGCAGCTGAGAATGGCTTTGGCAGTATCTGGTCGTATGAAAAACGTGCAGAGGATGAAACTGCAGCTCGGTCAGCACGAACACCACTGGGAACGATGCGGTTCGGCAAGCGCGGTACAGTACCGCTTGGTACTATGCGGTTTGGCAAGCGGTCTGAACTGGAAAATTTCCTGGATGCTTTAGTACCGGTACATCCAAATGGCGACAGAGTTGACAGCAACAGTGGTTATGTCGATAATTTTTACGGTAAGACGGTCTATCTTGGTCCTTCCGGAAAGCGAAACAGCCCACTTGGTACGATGAGATTTGGCAAATAATGTTATGTGAAGAAGCAGTGCAATTTGTTTGGTTATTTTGGAAACTAAAGCTCTCCGATTAGCAATTTTTTGAGCGATGGATAGCTTCAGAACTGTGCTGTTGATAACGTGCTTCCCTATTTGATCAGTGATTTGAACTTTGAATACAAAATGAATGCGAAGTTATTTGAAACCAAAACATTTGAGGTCTGAGATAAATTGTTTCATTTGTTTGTGTATCAAATCGTACGCATCGCAGACAGCCTTTCTATCCGATGATACCTGTTGAGTGTTTTATGAGCAGGCAGCTTTTTTGCAAACTTAGGCGAAAATTAACAAACCGAATTTAACTACAATTTAGAAAAATTACCCTCCAAACACTGCCAAGACTGACCGGAAAAAAGACGTCGTCACACGGTGTGACGTCCACAGGTTCACAGCAAGGCCGGCAACATGCTCAGCCCATCGGCCCTTGCTTTCTTGCGTATCGTAATGATATTGTACATATCACTCATCAAATACAGAAATCCACGACGGATCCACTCCAAACATTCTTCACACTCTTTTATCACAACCCATGCTCGCTCTTCTGTTTTCATCAATAACCAGGTTTCGCACCAATACGTCACTGCCTTCAGTATTGTGCCTAATAGTCCTTCCGGGATGACACCCTGAGGAAGCAAACGATGCTGCAAAATTTGCGTCAACCAGCAGTTCACACACATGCAGTCCTCAACTGAATAGCGGAGCTCATAAATACTTTCCAACCAAGAGAAACGTAACTGTCAATTTCTTACGAGTCAGTGTCTACCTATAGTGTATCCACGAACCTAACGACACTTACGTCCATAAGGCAGGTCCGAAGATGTAGTAGCTACTGACTCAATGGTAGGATAAAGATTCTAGTGGATTAAAGCAGGTCGAAAGGATGTAGCGCCTGACAAATGAAGTCGGCTAATCTATTTTCGTATTAGTCGCCGGTAAGAATCTAGACAAATACTGCTTTTGCTCGGTTGGTCTTAGCAATGAACCCAAACAACAAATATACTAGAGCATCCAACATTCCTTGGTTGGCTGAGCAACAGTGAAGGGCAATCGCTTTGAGTTCCTGGATCAAACTGGTGGCCTCCAATCTACATTGCTAAGTCTACATTAAAATCAGCAGTCAAAAAAAAAAAATCTTTATTTCATAGACTAACCAGGAAGATAGCAAAGCACTGACAAAAACGGATAATAATTCTTCAGACTCTGCGCTTAATTACAGCGAAATACATATATATAAAATGAGCTAGGGAATAGTGAAAGTCCCTTAAAGCTTTTCTTTAATAAAACAATAAAATGTCTCTAATTTTTTATATTTCAGCTAAAATTACGCACATTATTGCAAATGCAAGTTTCTCTCAGCAGTCTTCAAGTTTGTTTTTACGTTTGTCAAACATGCTGCCCACCACTATCGATCTTTACTGTGCTTGAAAATTTCGTCCACCATCATTAAAGTTGATTTCCTGACTAAACATTTTTGTGTTGTCTGCCTGATATAGATTTTCTCAAAACTACTGTAACAGCTGCTTGACTGGAAGCCGGAAATGAATAGCGGAAGTTAGAATTAAGCAGCTGTAAGGCTAAAAATAGTCATGTGAGAGAAGTGCGTAATCTTTCCCTTATCATTCAAGCGTTGAGGCGAAATCTCTGACTATGCATCCATACATTATTGCTGCGTCCGGTCACCACCCCCTCCCCTCCCCCTCACCAACCCCTCCACACCTCAGTGATTTTGTTTTGTAACTATTTTACCACTCACAACAACAGCCCACTGCAGCTCAGTTTCGAGCAATTCACTTACTCTGCCCTAATTTGTAATCATCTAGCCATCTTTTCACATGACAGACGCTTCTTTTCTACGTTTATGCAGAACCTCTAAGTTGTCGATGATGCTTGAAACATGTGCTGATGCGTGCGTGTGTGTGTATGTGAATGCTCTTGCATTTGTGTGGATATGCATGTGTGCGTGTTATAATGACTTCAAATTCGGCAATTTTAAAAGTGATTTCAATGGGCCAGTTATAATGTGTGCGTTATAATGGACCAGTTATAATGATTTCAAATTCGGCAATTTAAAAAAAAAAATTTCTCGTCCAAACGTTTAAGTTGAGTGTACAGTTGTCTTAAAAAAACGCTGATCTGCTAGGCATAGTGCTTATGCTTAATCTGCTTTAAAGTAAAGCAGAATTAAATAAAAAAATCCCAGTCCAGTATAATTTAATGGATAATAAAGTCATCTTTCACCGCATTTTACGTTGTGACTATTCAAAAAGGCAAAATACTTCAAAAACTAAGAAGATCAAGAGTCAAAAACAACAACTGCATCGTTCTATTCCTAATGCCATTATAATAAGCTATCTAAAACTAATAAAAAAAACCAAGCAATTATTGTTGTTCTCAATACTGCTGCTATTGCTGTTGTTGTTGCTGGGAGCAGTAGCACTCAAGAATCAAAATGCACTTAATAAAATGATGTTGAATCGCGCCGATAAAGCGTAGTGCTTTGCATATGGTGCTTTTGATCGCCGTTCCTAGGCAAGTAATAAAAATATACGTTTTATTTCTGTGTTTTATTGAAGAATAATGCAGTTCTCGCAGTGAACAGCTGATCCTTTTTGGGCTGATAAACGGAGGACTGATGAATGGAGGCACACATAAGAGCACGGCTGATGAGTGTGCCAGATGATGACCACAAATTACACTGTTCAGTTGGATGATCATAAAAGTTTAATTAGTGAGTGTTTCTGCAATAGCTACCCCAATATGTATACTCAATTTCACTAAATTGAATTGGCGACTCTTATTCTACCGCACTTTTTAATAAGTTGCGATATGTACACGGGCGATAAATCATTGGCGACGCGCGCCGGGCGGGCCCGGGCGATCATTCATTTTCACAATATTTCGTACTGTAGCGAGATCGTTCGGAAACCCAGAAACTAGCAACTGTTACACACTGGCTCTCGAAGTCCGCAAAGTTAATTGTGTGATTACGTGATATTTCGACAGGGGGCATTCCGTTAAAATATCAACTTTCCAATTTTTCTGGTCCCCGAGTTAGCAATTTTGCAACCAAAAAATTTCATGAGTCCGTACATAAGAACCATGCATACCGGAAGGCTGAATTTGACACCTTAAACTTTTACGGGACTGGGAACATCTCCTCAAAATTTCAGCCCCCAAGCTTTTCTCGTCCCCGCCGAAAATTTTCACAAGGCTACACGTGAGAATCACGCACACCTGGGCTTTGAATTTGAAATATTCGAGTCCTACGTGGACTAGAAACATCACCCACTTCAGCTTTCCAGCTTTTCTTCTTCCCGAGTTACTAATTCCCCGCCAAAAATTTTCGCGTGGCCATGCTTGAGAATCACACACATCTGGGATCCGATTTTGAAATCTTTGAGTTCTATGTAGATGGGGAACATCCCCACAAAATTCCAGCTTCCAGCTTTTCTGGTCCTCCAGTTAGCGATTTTTCCGCCAACAACTTTCACGAGGCCGTGCGCGAGGCCCAAACGCGTATGGGAGCTGGTACTGCTGTTCTGAGGTGGCACTTGACCGAGGAACCCGCCTGCAAATTTTGACGCCGAAGCTTCCCTGGTTTCCGAGTTGAAATACCCGGACAGACGCATACACATGCATAAATATGCATATACACGCACACCGGGGTCGTTATAATATGTTTTGCATATATGCAAAAATGCATGACCAAAAAAAACCCAGGCTGGAACGCACCAAGCTCTCCGGTGCGATCATGCGTTTTTGCATTAAACTCGCAGATCGCTATTAGCAGGAATGATCCTTACACTGTAGCCTAACACTTGGGCTCATATTGGCCGTGCTTTGATCCTTTCCGGCATGCAGGAGGA